CGTTCGTCGTTCGTCGTGTCGTCTGTGTGTGTGTGTGTGTGTGTGTGTGTGTGTGTGTGTGTGTGTGTGTGTGTGTGTGTGTGTGTGTGTGTGTGTGTGTGGGTGTGTGGGTGTGTGGGTGGGTGGGTGTGCGTGCGTCCATGTGTGCGTGTATCTGTGATGGGATTAGCAGATGTTACATTCCTCGCAATGAATATTCTGAGGTTTTATGCCCCGATCACTTTGATAATCTCTCAACACCTCCCCACTCTCTGTCCCTGCCGGCTCACTGCCTTGCCCAAAGGAGCCGGGAAGTCTCGCTCTAGAGCCTCTGCTGTGGAAACAAACACAGCAGCTTAGTTTTGTTGCAGCATGCTGGAGACCTGAACGCCTTACTCTGAAGCTGAAGAAACCACCAATCCCTGAGGTCTTTCTTCTAATCTTTTCACTGTTATCAGCAGTAAAGTAATGTTTGTATGGGCGGGAAGTCAGTAAATTGATTGATTCCTAACAGTGGCGGCGCCAGATATTTTCTTTTGGGGGTGCTGTAGGGTAGCTTGACGTTTCATAGAAGGGTGCTCAAACATTTAGGGTTTCCCATTAATGTCCCGGGCGCTACAGTTGAATTTTCTACTGCAACAATCCCCACACGCACATACAGATTTTTTTTTTAAATATTGAAATTAAAAGCATCAATCTGGTGCACTTTGAGAGCAAAATGAAGAGATCTATGCATACATCTCTCAACACCCATATGAAACAGAACTGTAAACAGATTTACTTTTCCTTTATGGATATTTTACAAATCACACACCTTTTAAACTGTATTCTTGTTTTACTGTCAAATAGTATTTCATACCTGTTTTTCATTTATGCTCTTATTTTTTTATAATGATAATATAAACGTGTGCCTCAGAAATACTTATTTACATTAATCGTGACCAAACCGTTTTGAGACCCACTGAGATAACTTGGACTAAAGTTAACTATCTAAACACTGAGAGAGTCCTTTACTTCACCTGAGCTGAGGTTATCTGATACTCTCAGTCTGACAGAAGAGAGTTCTCCCTCCACCTTGTTGTGGAAAAAGCTGCTTATATCCGTTAGCGTAGCTAGCACCAGATGCTAACCACAACGATCTCCGGTACCGGTGCGCGCTCTCTCGCTTAATCGCGCACGCACGCACGCACACAGAGCAGAGCTTGAATGAAACACAGAGACACAGAAGTAGACTACTTGTACTGTACTGTACTGTAGGTAGCATATTATTTTCGAACCTATATTTATTGGGGGTGCTTCGGGGGTGCTATGGCTATCCTGGGGGGTGCTTCAGCGCCGCCACTGATTCCTAATTAAAAAAAACAGTTTTAGTATGTAAAAGCACCCCTAAAAGTATTTGAGTATTCATCTTGTTCCACACTGTCTGAAAGTAACACACATTATTTATCAGTAGAGTCCAAGTCAAAGCTCTATGATTATTGTTTATTAAAACAATACCCCACTTATTTCTTCGTTTCCCAGTTTATTCAAAGGAAAATTATTATCTAAATTTCCCCCAACATTCAGCCTGGCATTTATCATACCTTTAGAAATGTTGTATTGCTGATGCAATATAAAACAAAGCTCTTATTGGAACAGTGTCTGGCTGCACAGAATGCCTTTAAACTAAATTATACAGGTATGTTTACAGGTCTTGGGTAGCACTGCTGCATAAAGTGAAGTAAGTTGTATAACCCCCTTTGTGGATCCACAGGGCAGCATGCAAAATCTAATACAGAGTCTGTGTTAGTTGGGTCTGCAGACTACAACATTTACAATTTAAACAAATTGTGGATGCGAAGTAAGTGAACTTACCAGCCCTCTGTAGCACACTCCTCAGTTTAGCTTGACGCTAGCCGATAGAGGCCACGTTAGCTGCTACAAGCATAACACACCTGAAAGTCCAAATGAACTCGTGGTTAATTGTGGGTAATGTAGGTGCCAAATCTTGACAAAGAAGAAGATGTGGAACAAAAAATGTTTCACATCACAAGATTGTTTCTCTAGTTGTGCATCGATGCTAGGTGTAGCTATTTGACCGCAATGCTAAATCGGGGGAGTCTCAATTGTTGAATAGTTTGGAACAAAGACATGGTGCTGAAGAGACCAACTACTTTTATAACTGAATCCTTTTATCTAAGATACAAACAATTGTTTCAAGCAATTGTATAAATGCTTTTAAACTGTGAGCTGTAAAATGGTGTTAAATGCTCTTAATGCTGTCCTTTGTTATTAACTATGATTTTAGCTATAGTGTAGTGTGGTGGGTCATTTTCTTGAGCTGTTTCAGTTCTTAATGACTCATCTTTTAAAGAGACTATACAATTTGTTCGTGCGTTGGTATGATAAAGATCTGTCTCATACTTAAGGGTACTTTAGATGCAACAATCTACCTCCCTGCTCTTCTCTGCTGCTGTGAGGAATGTGAGGGTCAAAGTTGGAGTCTAACAACCTCCTGCAAACTTCATTAGGGATGTTTTATTGCATGTGCTACAAAAGTTTGTCAGCACAGCATGGTGCGTACTAGTTTCTCAGGACGTGACCTCAGGTCGACCTCAGAGCTTTCCTGTCACCTCCCCACAGCCTTTGAGTTACATAAAAGAGAGTTTATGAAGACACACATACTCCTGGTTCCCCCATGAGTCGTGGACCAGCTTATGTCTTATTAACTCTTCCTTAATGGAGTTTTGTCTCCTCATTCTTACAGATAAAAGAGCTATGCAATAAATACTCAGATGAGCAAGGAACTCAAAATCAGTTGCGAAGTCAGGAATGTGTGAAGTCAGATGGCTGAGTGGCAGCAAGGAAAAGGCGCTATTCACCTTTGAACAATTATTTTGAAATGCAAAAAAAACAAGTAATGTAAATTATTAAAGGTCTGCCCTGGTGTCCACACACCATGAACAAGTTATTAACCAATATGAAGACAGTATCCCTGAACATTTTCAACTCAGACCTCAGTTATGACCATTTATCACTTCTGAAAATTCAACAAGGGAAAAAATGTCAATGAGAAAAGTAAATTAAAACCAAAGAGACACAATGTTTCTTAAGATGTTTATTTAAAGAATTGATGTTGTCCTCATGTTAATGTATAAAGCAGCGATGTTCTGGCCCTTAATGCTTTTTCACATTTTTATTTCTTATTGAGAGTCAGATTCTTCTTGATTTTTCTGATTTTCAATTTCTTTCTGAACGGTAGTGAGGTTTGGTGGGCTTCCCTGACACCCGGTCACACAGCTACTAATGTGGATCACAGACCATCCTAAACAAACACACAGCTGCTGAACGCGGGTCACCACACAGTGTTGAGCACAGATGCAGATGTTCACAAACACATTCATAAATAGGATTAAAAGGTCCTGGTTGGGTTTAGTTTGAAACATTTGCCGTTGTATTTACAGAGTCCTTGTTCTGTGTTAATGCACCAAAAAAAGCACCATTTTGCTTTAATAGAAAGGGTCTCATTTGGTTGAACGTCAAACTGCCCCTTTCCCTAGAAAGGAATGGGAGGTCCCATCATGTGGAGGCCATGATGCAGTTTTCAGCTCAGCGTCCTACTCGGCTTTCTTGGCCTTCCTCTTGCGGGCACCTTCGCTCAGCTCCTCCTTGGTTTTGAGAGGTGAAGATGGGGCAGCGGCGGGAGCGTGGTGGTGGTCTTCCTCAGACCCACCCAGAGGGGAGCCGAACAGCAGATGGCAAACCCAGGACTCAATGAGGGCGAAGGGCGAGCCATGAGAGTGACGGGCGGTCATCACCACCTGAGGGAAGAGGATGTTGGTTATGAGAGATTTGCCTGATTTTGCGGTAACTGAATTTATTTGTAATATTAAGATCAGTTTATAGAGTACCACTCAGCCTGTGAAAACTGTGGTAAAAATGTCTGCTGGGTTATCTCAATTTTTAAACTTAATGTGTTTCATCTGAGAGCCCAATCTGGGGCTTGTAGAGGTTAATTGCTAACATTTTCTTACTCATTACTATTTAACTCTGAGTTTAAATACCTACTCATTGTTTTTTTCTCTATACATAAAACCAAAGTTTTTCTTCCCTAAACTAAACTAAACGTGCACATGACAAACAAGTGAGAGTGGTATGTTTTTGATCCTGTTCAAGTCACACTGGAATACGCACATCCTCTGTTAGGCAACACAGTTTCAGGCTGAATAATAAAAGCAACATTGTCAACTACACTTAGCTGACCTTACCTTGCTTGTGACCATGAACAGGGTGAAGATGAGGATGAGGGTGCTCTTGGGCACTGGCAGCCAGTGAGACTCCTGCAGGGTGAAGAGGATCGCTCCGTACAGACTGGCCTTGGTTGGGCTGCAGAGACAAAATACAAAACTGTGAGTAAAACATGCAGAATGCAGCAGGGATAAAAAGAAAAACTAGTCAAGGATATGATTAGATATCAGAGGTAGAATCAGAATGAGAAATCCTTTATTTAATAGATTTGTTTTAAATTACTAGCAGTTTTAGTTGAATTGCAAGGTAATGTATGATTGAGGCTGTAGCTTTCCTCTGTAGGTTGATGGGGTTTTATCAGAGGATAAGAGATTTTCATTCAACATTGTTCATGTTGGGTGCATTGCAGTCGGTTAAAATGTTTTTGTTTTTATAACCACTAGGGGGCACCAAAGAAAATTAAAGTTTTTAACCATAGTGGCATCAACAAATCTGCTATTTCTCAACCAGTCTGACTCTTGATGTCCAATTCAGTCACACCACTTTTACGTTGTAGTTTTCCCCTTTAAGTTGAGAATTGGTTTCATACCCCTGCATGCTCGAGGAGGCAGAGATGAGTGTTTTTACTCCTTCAGAATGACACTCAGACTTACAATGACATGTTGAGGATCTCATTGGTGTCGGGCCTCCACACACCACGCAGCAGCTGCTCAAAATTGGAAATGAGAGCCACTCCAGACCCTGCGAAGATAAAAATAGACGTTGAAAAAATTAGGACAAAAAGGTCTGTTACTGTCTCGTGTAACTGCGTTTCTCTGCATTCAGCTTTCTGCCCCCATTTTCAACATTGACGCCTGCAGGGCCTCACTATTGTAGCAGAGACCAAACCAGCACAGCCCTTTATATGTATTTCTAAGGAAATCTCTCCACTATTGGATGGTTTCACAGTAAAGGCATTTGGGAAACATTTGGTTAAAGCCTGCAAAAGAGAAATCTGATGTAACTTATAAGATGGATAGGTATTTATCTATCCATCTATCTTATACACTTTATAGTATTCTATATACATATGAATCATTGCTACAAACATTTTCACAGTTTCTATGGTTAAATACTGGGCTTGTTAAACATTATAATGTTTTCTTATTATTTTAGATATTTTCTATCTCTGCACTTTCTTTATTCCAGCAAATCTGTATCGACATCAGCTAAAATGTACAGGAATTTTAGTCAGGTTTTAAGGGACATCACACTAAGCTAAAATAAATTCAACTTTACACATGACATCATAAGTATCTTTTCAATTGAGCTGCTACAAAGTAATGATTATACCCTCCTAAGCTGGTGTCTTTCAGTTATCAGGTTACTTGAGGACTTGTAAACGCACAGATCATGAATGAACAGCAAATGTATACACTGGCATGTACATGTGTGACGTTCACTCATGTTTAAATGTGGAGGCCCTTTGAGGGCAGCTGTCAACACAGAGAGCTGCTGTCAGAGTGAGGAGGACAGACTGAAAGCTTACCAAGCAGTTCAACAGAATGTATTTTAAAGATTAAACAATTATTTAATTAGACACTTAGTGTATCAACAGAAAAAATAATCCAACACAACCATTCTGATAATACAAAAAAAAGAAGTTTCTATTTGAAGATTTGCTGCTTTGTGCTTTGTAAACCTAATATCTGTGTCTGATATATCTGTGTCTTGGCAATTAACCGACTGATTAAGGAAATAGTCGACAGATTAATCTATGTATAGAATAATTGTTGGTTACAGTCTTTTTTTCTTGTCCACACAAAAATAAGCCAAATGTGTGAATACATTCAAGAAGCCCATAATGTTCCTTAAAAAATTGGGAAATCTGCACCACCACATTCCTTCAGAAACTATGATTTTTGTAATCATATTATAACAATTTGCAGTCTTTCATCAAGCTATGGAGAAAACAGCACATTTTGTTGTCAACCCATTTCAAACATGACCACATGTTGTGCCATACATACTGTCATACTGAATACTACAAATAGTACGTTCGTAACACCCATCAGTTTGAAATCCCACATGAAACTAACCTTTGACGTATCCAACGATGACCATGATGAACAAGCCGTGGTGGTAGGCGTGATGGGCGTGGTGAACGCCGGCTGCAATCTTACGAGTGCGGACGACTTCCTTCAGGGCGACCAACACCAGTTTGACGGGCAGGAAAGCCACGCATTTATAGAAGAGGTTCAGTGGGCAGTAAAAGACGAGGTACCTGAGAACATGGTGGAGAACAAGACATTAGAGGGAGGGTCTGTAATTCAGCTCTGATGGTTAGGTTTGAATTAAAGGTGACCTATCATGCAAAATGCACCTTTGTACTTCTTTTTTACATGAGTATGTGTCCCCGGTGTTCCAGGGAACTCACCAAGTGTCAGAAAACACAACCCTCTCTAATGTTGTTTTCCTGTAATTCTTTAATACCTGTAAATTCTTCACTAAAAGATTTTTGGGACATTTGATTTGCATAGAGATAGGGTCTGTTGATGAACGATTTAGCTTTTATCAAACATCACTAAACCTATGACAATTGTAAATTTCCACCTGGAATACCGCACTTATTATATCACATCCCTGCGTATGGATATATTCCTTATAATATGAAAAATAAAAGTTTTATGGTTTGTCTAGCTACGTAAATCGTAGGAGTAAACGAGGTTAGAATTGTGACAGAAACGTACCGCCTACCCTACACTTCTGTTCGTGGTAGATTGGTCCGGACCGGATACATGATGTCGCAGGGTCGCGAAAGCTTGCCGTTACAGGCACGCGACAGTAGAGGACTACCACCTCAACCGGGTTATCGGCATCGCGGTGAAGCACTGCAGTATTTCCAAGTTTAGACCTAGTCAGACATAGTCTAGGCCCGTCGGGGAAAAATTCTCTACAACCAATACTCC